TCTAGCAGCCATTAATGATTAAAATAAGGGCTTTTGAGTTGAAATCTCATAGAAAGATTCTTAGAATATCATAGACCAAGAAGAAAAGAAATACTGACAGACTAAAATTCTAAACATAGAGGAAGATTGGCTAGTAAATAGTATTCTGTCTTGGAAACTGAAATAGTTCTACCATGTCAAATGTCACAGCGGTTAATGTAGAACTTGTCTGACATTCATGTATTTGTTCTATGTGTTTATTGACTGACTGTTCACGTATAAACTCTTGCACAATTTAATAAGGTGTTCGTTTACTTAGTAGTAATGTAGTATCTTCCCTAATGTATTACGGACCAAGGTTCACTGTTATAAAGCAGAGTGCTGAGAAGACAAGCCTGATAGACAAAGAGTTTTGCAATAGACAAAGAGTTTTGTAGTTAGTAAAGTAGTAACTTGAAGACATTATCCTGCTTTTGTCATATCAGGTATATGGTGCTGAATCTATATTTGTGAGGCCAGTCGACACTCGACGGGAGATGTTCAAAACATTATGCAAACCACTGACGCTTCCCATGTCATTATTTGGTACCCTTTTGTGTTAGGTCGACCTGGAAGCCAAACCCACTATTTTTTTTAATAGGTGAATTTGATCTCAGGACCTTCATATCGGTAGGCAAGAGACTCTGCACTGCGCTACCTTGTAGTTATGTGTATCTGGCTTAAAATTGCCTTGATTTGCAGGATTGCCCATATCAAATATACGTACTTTGGTCATGTCATGAGAAGAAGAAAACTGGAGTACACATGATGGTGGGAAAGTTGGGGGGGGGGGCAGAGGGTAGAGAGAGAAGATGCTGGGCAGTTTGACATCATTGTATGAAATATATTAATTTGTGTCTGAACTGACTGAGAAAACATGAGGCAAAAAGTTGTTGATGGAAGTGATTATCAACGCGATACAGCATGTTCTAGAAGAAGAAGAGCCACGTTTCAACATTTAAAATCGGCAATTACCCAAGTGCACATGTGAATTGGCACCTGAGAGAACAGATCACGTCCTCCAAGACTTTCACAGATACAACATATCAAGGCAAAACTTTTGGCTAAGAGAAACATCGGTGCAAGTCAAACTTCACGGGTCGCTGAGTGAATTACCAAAAAACAAAAAAAACCCAGTGAAGTTCGTACTAGATACAACATTGCAAATATAGATAATCTTTTTCAAGCGAACGAAAGAAGAAGTTTCAAAATACTAAGTGCAACTTTTCGACATCTTTTTCGGACTTTGCAGATTTTATTTATTAACTTTCGTCTTTTTGTTTTTTTTTTTTTTTTTAAACACAGGCCAGAAAGAAACAAAAACAACAGTAAAAATGTGACTTGCCAGATCAGTTTGAACATATCCCCCCCACCCCCACCTCCCCACCATCCCCTAACCCTTGGAGATTCGAACACATGTACCCCACGCTAGCCTCTATACTACAGTAGCTACATTAGATGACCGATTGTTATCTTAGTGCAGTTATTCTTAGTATTATTAGAACTGTTTTATGGCGTTATTATTATTAATAATATTTGTATTATTAATAAGTGTATTATTGTTAAATACCGTTTGTGTTGCTGCATCTTTCCCTAGACCATCATGCACCTTGTTGTTCTTGCAGGGCTCTAACGGCCTCAGGGGGTCAGTGAACAATGTGACACTAATTTTGTATGGCACTAAAGAACAGCCAGAACACCAGAAAAACTATTTATCCAAGTGTCCGGAACTGGACACTTACGCAGTAAGTTTTTCGTTCTCTGTATAGTTGTCAAACATATTTTGTCAATAAATATAAATTCACATGTGCTTTCACGGTGGGTTCGTCCTAACATGGATGTTCACAAATATTATGTGACGCAAAGTCGGTCAGTTGGCTGCTGAAGATGTCACCTTTAGGGTGGACGTGCTGATGCAGTAGCAATAGTTTTCAAATTCCTGTGGTCTATTATATGGGCTGTTATTTTAATCTCCATACTAATTGTGTATGTATAAATAATATGTAGTCTGCTGAGCTGTATCCAAACAGACGTCATCTTTGGTAGTTTCATCACTTGAGTAGTTTTATTTAGGTACAAAACACATGTTACGGTAATGGCGTAGATTACCCTAACCATGATCCTAACCACCCAAGTTAAGCCTTTAATGCTTGCCACGAATACTCTCATTTTATAGCAAGTTTGACTGACTGACTTTCTACCCCACCAGACATCACATAAGCGATCAACACCCCGATGACACAATATGCCACCATGTGGGTGAGGATCGCCGTGGAGAGGTCCCAGAAACCGCATTCAGCCTTTAGGCCATATTTATGGCCAGGCTATATTGCGGCCCCTGGCAAGAGCCAGAGTAGCGCTTCAAATAACGAAAAATTTCATCCTGAAAAGAACAAAAAGTATTATATGTCTATAGCACGTTTCGATACATTCGGGTCAGCATGTGTGAGCTTATCCAGATTGACATAATACATTTAATAAAAGCATATTATTGCGAAAGATCATTTGGTTTTGTTTGAACATTATGCTGTAAAGCGCTTAAACAGCAATCCAGCAAGGATAATCGTATATATAGTATGTACATCGACAAAGCAAAAATGCGTTTCCATATACTTCTTATGCGGGAGGGGCAAGGGGGAGCTATGAAATAACGTTAAAAATGAAGTAAACATTCATATATAATTTCATCCATTTATACTCTGCTACAACTGTGATATATATTTTTTTTTAACATGGGCAAGAATTGGTAAGCGTACTGTAGACGCTCACCTTCTGACCCGAAAGTTTTGGATTTAAATATTTACTGAGGTGGGTCTTGTGTTAATAATTGACTTGACTTTCACGTCGACTCAGTCAAATAGAGTGTCAATACATTTTATAGGAAGTAAAGATGGTCAGTGTATTTTGACCACATCAATTACGTGTTAAAATACCTTTCTCCTTTATTGAAAATCGTGTAGTTTTTACTGGAATGTGTGTTAAAGAGAGAGAGGGGGAGAGCAGAGAGAGAGAGAGAGAGAGAGAGAGAGAGAGAGAGAGAGAGAATGTGGTCATAGCCCAATAACTTGAATTGTGTTTCTATAAAGAAGACATGATTATTATTGTTTATATTATTGTCTATATTTCTCAGTAAAATTATTTCTGGGCAAAGGTGAAATATTATAATGTAGTTACTATATATGTTTACTTCAAGAGGAAATAAGTGCTCTAAACGTCCGGCGGTCTTGGGACAGAGTCCCTCTGTCAGCATGAACAGCATGTATGAAACCCGAAAGGAAGCCCATGATGGGAAAACAAGTCTGATGGATGATAAACCAAAATAAGAATTGGATTCTGGAATGTAAACGAACAAAACCGCCCAAGTAATTACCAGAGGGAAAGAGAAAAAATGGGCGCCCAAAAACGAACGATGGAAAGTGACCTGAGTGTGGCATCTTTGACATGGAAAACTGCATTGAAGATTGCACAGGACAGGAGAGCATGGAAAGTCCTCTCTGAAGCTTTATGTGCCACTAGACATAACGAGAACTGATATATGTTTACATAAGTACCCATCCAAAATATTCTGATTCTATCAGATTAATGTACAGGTACTTTCATGTTCTGATAGAATAAAAATCAGTTTTCTTTTCATATTGAAATAATGAGAAAGCAAACAAACTATTGCACAGTTCCGTGTCAGACATATGTGGTTGTCTTTCGGCGGGTGCGTTACTACAGAGCAACACTAACACACAAGGAAGCAGAACAAGGGAATTGTTCTAATGTAGTCGCTAAGACAGCATGCTTTATTCGAACACGTACTGGTGTTTCCTTTCCTTTGGAGTAAACAATGCTGGCCGAGTAAGATTGCATGATGAATGTGCAACTCATGATCTATACAGTGCGGCTCAGGTTTTGATCTATGGGGAGGAGAAATCTAAATAAAACACAGGTCCTGAAATTGCACGCTGTGACTGTGGTAGACTTTTCATATCATAGACGTGTTTTGCCAGTCACATTCGCCTTCACATTGTCATAATTAAACGCTTTTGTCTGGAAAGACGCACAAGTGGCAACACTAACATGTTTATTTTATTATATATTTAATTCATTTTGAAACGTCTAAATTTTTTATACTGTACATGAAACTTGTCAGCGTCTGTGGCTTAGAGTTGCGAACTCGCTTCGTGATGCCGGGGTGCCGGGTTCGATCCCAGCTGCAGGCCTTGCACCTTGCGTTGGTTTTAACAGTGGTATCGAGAAGCCAACCGTCCAGAAAGCAATAGCAAACAACTAAACGTAAATTTGTTTAGAAAAACCACAACAGCCAAAAAAAAAAAGGCTGGGTTGGTTCTGCAATGTCCTGTAAAGGATACGCAACTAACCTTAAACATAATATTATCTGTTACTAATTATCACGAACCATGTATTTGTATTATTGTAGGATACTTTGCAAAACGTCATCGTAAGTAGCAATGCAAATCATTCATAGGCTTACCTTGCAGAACTTTCCAGTATTTTTGTGCTCTCTCTTTACATTACATGTGCTTCATTGAGGCTGTCATCAACTGTATGCTTTGATCTCTCTCTTCAAATCACATGTGCTTCATTGAGGCTGTCATTGGCTGTGTGCTTTGCTCATTGTACTGTCTGGAGAGGCCGCTTACTCATGACATCACAATAGTTTTTAAATTAGCTAACTGGCTGGGTTGTTAACACCGTTGCTTTAATTACTGTACAGCTGAAACCTACTGATATTATCAAGTATAAATATAAGAGCACAAATTATGACTTTATGGCTCGATCAGAGAAATAGTCAATTTTTGTTGGTTTAAGTTTGTTGCAAATAGATGTTGATAGAAATTACCATATGTATCGGCATCGGTGGCTTTTAAAATCAAAAAAAAAAACATATGGAACTCTCAATTATATGGTTTACAACCAAGCTTTATATTTACAATGCTTATGCTATTTTTAGTTAGTTAGTTAGTTAGTTAGTTAGTTGGGTTATCCTCATTGCACTCCGGACATGTCCATAGGTGCTCAGATCCTCCCCTCAGTATGAACCCCAACGTCCGATGGCTAATAGTACCAGTTCTATGTTGATTAACAAGTCTTCTGGCGTAGCTGGTGTGCGTCTCGTTTTTTGCTGTGCCGATCTTAATTCCCAAGTCTGCCATTCTGGCGAGTGATCTGGATTCACTGCCACCAAAGTCGTCTATCCTTCCCATTTCTCTGAGGGCATTGATAATATCAGCATGATCCATAGGCTGACCGTCGGTAGTGATAGCGGATCCAGCCAACCTGTCAGCTCTTTCATTTCCATCGACGCCTGCGTGTCCCGGAACAAAAATAAAGGTGACTCCACGGACAGTGGACTTCTGTAATGATTCAAGCCATTGTCTTCGCACTGAACCTGCCTGAACCCTCCGGATCATACTCATTGAATCACTAAGTATACATATGCGGGTGTATTTTTGTGTTTCAAGCCAGGCAAGCGCTTGTGTCACTGCCATCACCTCCATCGTCATGCTGCTGGTTGTCATGGAGAAGGCGCCGTTGGCTTCTTTGACTGTTCTGCCCGCTGAGCGTGCTGTAAATGCCCATGCGCTTCTTCTTTGGCGTATAACGGATCCGTCTGTATAGATTATTGCATCTGCTTCGTCTGAATTTTCACCGATGAGAGCGTTGACCTCTGCATTAACAGCAACAGGATTCTCTTCTCTACATCGCCTGTTGAGTGTGACAATACAGGAAAATGTACAATATATTTTTAGTTTAAACACATGCCAGTGAAAGTTGAAGAACCACTAAAGACATGGAACAACAGTTATAATGGATGCATTTTAAAACAGATAAGGAAAGGTCCCTTCACACGCAATGGCGCACAGAGCATACGAGGCTGGACTCACATTATTTTGTTGGGGGAAGGGGGAGGAATTGTGAATTTAAAATGAAATGAAATCAAGAAGTAATTAAACATTCTTTTTGCACGCGTTTAGGCGTATTGGAAATGTAGGGCTAGAAACTTTATTTTTATAGACCAAATGAAGCTTTGTGGGTGATGTGGTCAGCATCACGCCGGCGTTCTTTACTTCCCCGGACTGGACCTAGTACCCATTCGAGGATGGGCCTGCCTAGGAGTCAATTTCATTTTTTAACAAACGTCCGGCTCCATCAGGACGCGAACCCACGACCTTCCGATCCGCAAGTGGGCGTCTATCCGCCAACGCCACGGCGACTCCCCGATGAAATCAAGAGGAGTGAGGAAATAAGAGAATTGGCTGGGCAACTGCTAGTATCAACAGTTACGAGACAGAGAAGGTGTGACTTTATTGGACACATTATGTGAGGAAACTGACAGAGAATAACCAAACAGGCACATAAATGGGAAATAGGGGGATCGTGGAAACGAGGACGACCAAGACAAACACTAAGGAGAACGTTGATGAGAGAGGCCAGCTCTGCTGGTCTGAATCTCAGCCATGATATCCAACTGATTGCACACGATAGAACAGAATGGAAAAACAGACAGCGGGCTCAATGGGACATATAGTCGCACAAACAAGACAACGATTATGATATCGACAGAAAGAGAACATGCAACTAAAAATAGAAATAGTATATTAACTATATAATCCACTAAAACAACTGACTGGTACCTTTAAACCGGGGTGCCACATTATTAGGAAGGATGGTACTGTTCTCACGACTGACGCTGAGCAAAAGACAAGATGACAAAACACTTTGAAGAGACCTTACA